TTTATTTGATTAAGAGTCAATTGCACAAATTACTGGCCAAGTTTAATCACTCTTTATCAAAACTTATACGATTTACAGTCAAAAATGTAAAATAGTAGCTAATTTTGCCTTAGGTTGAATCGTAAAATTGCCATATCTTTACAGCTATGGAATCTAAAATATTTTTGTTAAGTTTATTTGATTAAGAGTCAATTGCACAAATTACTGGCCAAGTTTAAACACTCTTTATCAAAATTTACCGGATTTACAGTTGAAAATGTAAAATTGTAGCTAATTTTGCCTTAGGTTGAATCATAAAATTGCCATATCTTTACAGCTATGGAACCTAAAATATTTTTGTGAAGTTTATTTGATTGAGCGTCAATTGCACAAATTACTGGACAAGTTTAAACACTCTTTATCAAAACGTATACGATCTACAGTCAAAAATGTAAAATAGTAGCTAATTTTGCCTTAGGTTGAATCGTAAAATTGCCATATCTTTACAGCTATGGAATCTAAAATATTTTTGTTAAGTTTATTTGATTAAGAGTCAATTGCACAAATTGCTGGCCAAGTTTAAACACACTCTATCAAAATTTACCGGATTTACAGTTGAAAATGTAAAATTGTAGCTAATTTTGCCTTAGGTTGAATCATAAAATTGCCATATCTTTACAGCTATGGAACCTAAAATATTTTTGTGAAATTTATTTGATTAAGAGTCAATTGCACAAATTACTGGCCAAGTTTAATCACTCTTTATCAAAACTTATACGATTTACAGTCAAAAATGTAAAATAGTAGCTAATTTTGCCTTAGGTTGAATCGTAAAATTGCCATATCTTTACAGCTATGGAATCTAAAATATTTTTGTTAAGTTTATTTGATTAAGAGTCAATTGCACAAATTACTGGCCAAGTTTAAACACTCTTTATCAAAATTTACCGGATTTACAGTTGAAAATGTAAGAACGAAAAGCTAGTTTTGCACTAGGCTGGAACGCAAAATGGCTATATCTTTACAACTATATGACATAAATTTTTTTTGTTAAATTTATTTGATTGAGAAACACTTGCACAAATTACTGGCCAAGTTTGATCACTCTTTATCAAGATTTACCAGATTTACAGTAAAAAATATAAAAAATAGCTAATTTAGCACTAGGTTGCATTTTAGAATCGCCATATCTTTACAACTATGAAACCTAAAATATTTTTGTTAAGTTTATTTGATTAAGGGTCCATTGCACATAAAACAGGCAAAGTTTCAACAATTGTCGTTTAGTCTTGCTTGACATAAAGTTGAAAAAGTAAGAATGTGAAAAATCGGACCTAGTTCCGTTTTCAAATGCTCATATCTCGGACCTGGAATCTTCACAAAATTCAAAGAGGTTGTTTTTCTGCTTTCACAAAATAGCACAAAAAAAACCCATATACAGGTAGTACATCACTCAACTCGTTAGGTCACCGTTCTACTTGATGGACACGGTCAACAGTATCCAATCAAATTGATCAAAAGAAATGCAATGAGTCTAGACGATACAGAATCAATCTCGATAACTTCTTCGCTGACAACTCACTGCATGAACCTCCTCTGAATTCTAATGCAAATGCCGCATCTCCCGTTCATCACCAAAAAACTGCAACCTCAACAGAGAGTAATTCGAACCAACAACCGTTCCGACGATCATCAAGAATTCCTAAACCAGTACAAAGATATGGGAATTGATAAGAGAAGGGAGATGTAAAATAATGATCTCAGTAATCTGAGAAAAACAATAAATCGGTTGAATATCTCGAACAAAAACATAAAGACGTGTTTCATTGAAAATCAAAAATAAAACATATGGATTTGAGGAAATGACTGGATGACAAAAATGTTCATGTATTTGCTGTACATTTTATTACTGGAACTTTTGGTTCCAAATGTTTGCAATAAAAATTATAGTAAGCAATGATTTTCAGAACTTTTACAAAGAAGTGTTCATTATGCGATTCATTCACTTACTGTGCCATTATGGCTTTAGTAAAGGATGTCCAGTTACGTGGAACTTATTGCAAACATTTGGAACCAAAAGATCCAGTAATAAAATGTACAGCAAATACATGAACATTTTTGTCATCCAGTCATTTCCTCAAATCCATAAACTCTTATTCCTTCATTATCTTCCAAAAATTCTAAACAGAATTGCAACCAAAACATCCAAAATATGCAGCAAGTCATATCAACAAGAATTATGGATTGATTCTTTCGAGAAATTCAGGCAAAAGTGGCAACTCATAAAAAATCGTTGAGAGTTTCAGAGATGAATTTTATATGAAAAGGAATTTAGGGAGTTTTTAAAACTCTCATTCAAAACTCCACTCAATTTTCCATATGAGTTTAAACTCAAATTTATTTCCAACTCATCATGACTCAAAAATGAGTTAAATTCAAATTCATTTTGTAACGGAATTTTAACTCAAATTCATTTTTTGAATTGTGAGTTAACTCATGAAATTCTCCCCATCCTGGTTAAGAACCATACTTAACACTTTTAAACTAAACTCATTAAGATAAAATTCCCGGGAAGACTCGGTCTTGGTCTCGATATTTTGTCGAGACCGAGAAATCGAGAAAGCATACCCTGTTTTTTCGTTATAAGCTAGTAGCTTAGAAGAATAAAAAAGTGATTTTTTTGGATCACTAGTAGCTTAGTAACGAGTAGTAGCTTAGTAAAGAAATTGAACTTCAATGAAAATTTTGAATTTTTTAACTTAATTAAAGACATTTTGCTATCTTCTCGATTTTATTTCATTGACAATGTCATAAGACATCTGGATCTATCAGCTGCATTTGACTGCGTCATTCACTCAATTCTGATTAATAAGCTCAAAAAACTTAAAATTCCCACAGCTTTTCTTTCAATTTTTGTGTCCTACTTTCAAAATCGCGTGCAATTCGTAAAGATAGATAATTGTTTAAGTAGTGGAGAGATTGTAGATTTCGGAGTTGCTCAAGGTGGTGTTTTGTCAGGAACCTTATTCAATGTTTACATTAATAGCATTTCCTCGATCCCATTACATTCGACTTTATCTCTTTACTGTGATAACATTTCTTTGGTTACTACGGCTAAATCACCTACGGTTCTTAAAAAAAATCTAGAGGAAGACCTCTCGAGAATATCGTTGTGGCTGCGTTTCCACTATCTCTTAGCAAACGAAAGTAAATCTAAATACGTAATGTTCCATAACAAACGACGGCATGAAAACTTCTATGAATTAGCTCTGAATATACGTTTCAATGGCAGATTAATAGAACGAGTAGAACACACTAAATTGTTAGGACTAGAAATCGACGAGACTCTTTCATTTACTTTCCATATTTATCAGCTTCAAAAAAAAATTATTTCTTTCATGTTTGCACTTAAAAGAATTCGTTGCTTAATATCTGATCAGACTGCTCTTCTTCTCTATTTTGCATATATACACTCCCGATTGAGCTACATGAATTGTATTTGGTCAACTACACCAAAGTATATGATGGATGCCATCGAAATTGTACAACGTAAAGCCTTGAGAATCGTTTTCTGTAGAGATAGGCTATGTAGTAGATCTGAACTTTATTCAGAAAAAATTCTACCTGTCTCCCTTCAATGTCAATTGTCATCATCAATCTTAGTTTTTAAAATGATTAATAACTCCGCTAAATTAAACTTCCCAATACAGTATGCTTTTGAAAGACATAGACACGCAACCAGAAATGCAAATAATATAGTTGTACCAACGACAGCAACCCAGTTAGGCAGTCAAAATTTTTTTATAAGAGCTTATCTGTATTTTAATGTCATCCCAGCAGAAATTAAGAAATTTGTAAGCCTTAATCTCTTTAAAACACGATTAAGAGAACATTTATATATAAAGCAATTGTGGTATGATGCATAAATAATTAAATCCACTTTACATAAATAATAATAATCTAATGTATTTAACAGTTTTATACTAAAATACAATAAAGAATCAATTTAATAAAAAAAAAAGTTGAAAAAGATTAATTAAACTATATTTTTGGTAGTAGCTTAGTAAAGATTACAAAAAATTTTCAAGTTCACAATGATTCAGATTCTGGAAAAATGTTCAAAAATTCCTTGTGCACAATACTTTTCCGACACATTAGAAAATTGAAAGTTTTTGTTAATTTCTCTTGATTTGAATCTTTTAGCATCTTCTAGATAATGTTTTCGTTCATTGCTCAAAAAATCAGTCCTTAATATAAAGGATAAACATGATTTTTTACCAAAACTTTGTAAAAGTTTATCAAAAAATATTGTGCATGATCAAATTTTGTATGAAAATTGATGTAAACTTTGATCACAAATATCTCGAAAACGGCATCAAACGGCATGTCCCCAGTTGTATGGGAGATAGATTTAAGCTTAATTAATTGATTTCTATAGGTTTCAGAGAGGTCTTTGGAAGACTTTTTAACTTATGAATAGTTTAAGTTTTGTAAAAATACTCAGAAATCAATTCCATTTTTAAGGCTTAATAAGCAGATTTCTATTGAGTTTGTTGTTTTAATATGTAAAGCTAAGCTTAAATTAGCTAGCAACTGCTTTCAAGACATCCAAATAACAACTTAAAGTAGAAAAAATCATATTTTTTTTTCATACACAAATTGTAAACAAATTTTGGGTGAGATTAAATTAATGATTTCTGGAGTTAGACATCAAATTGGGACGAGATATTTTCATAGGATATGCCTTAAGTTAAGATCTTTAATCTAGCATTTAAAAGATGAAGTTTAATTATTATGTTATTTTTGAATTTTTGAACATTTTTTCCGATTCTGAATCATTGTGAAGTTCAAAAAAACTTTACTAAGCTAGTAGCTTAGAAACGAGTGGTAGCTTATAACGAAAAAACAGGGTATTCTTCAATGATTGTTTGAATACATTTTATTACAATATTACAACACTAGTCAAATTAGGTTTATGGTTTTTTTTTAAAAAAAATAATTAATGCTTGCTTTCAAATTGTGTAAATTTGAGTTGTTTATTTTTTAACAGAATGTAATTACAGCATAAAGGTATTCTTTTAATTTTCAAATGTCAATCAATTCAATAATTTTCAAGAGAATATTGGTGCTGGATTTTGTAAGTATGACATGACCACAGCTGAGAAACTAAGCATAAAAGAACTTAATACTTGTTTTGAATCTTCTGTAACACGCGAATTTGCAAAGGAAATTACTGAACAGTATAGTGCTAGCCATGCACAGTACCTAAAAAGTATTTAATTAAATGAAGATACTAAGCAGGTTTTTTCAATTCAAAGAAATTACTTCATTTTTAGCATTAATCCAAGCATCGAAAAAACCATTCCCAGAATATTAAGATAGTCTGGTGTGAGATCTTCTTGTGTACTCTGAATGTTGTTATTTGGTTTGTATTTAACAATCTTTTCTGGTCTTCTAGCACTTTCAGAATTCATTGTATTAATTTATTTGATTTAATTAAATTTTCAACTATTTTTTTTATCACACAAATACAAACACGTATTGTTAAAGTTGTTTTCCCCTTTGGGGCCATTCACTTATTACGTAACGCTTTTAGGGGGAGGGGGGGTCTAAGATTTTGTTACGGTTCAAACAAGGAAATTTTTTTTTCATACAAATTTTGTTACGAGGGGGGGGGGGGGGTCTAAGAAGTCATTTTTTACGTAATAAGTGAACAGCCCCTTTATTGAATTTTTTAAATAAAATTCAGTATTTTTAGCGCATTTTTGAAACTTGTTTCTAAAAGGTAGCTTAATATCTCACTATGTCTGTTCGTTCGGGCGGAGAAAAACTTTTTAACTAGACATCGTAGAGAGTTCTAGTTTGTTTTATTAGCTCAGGTCCATTGTTTTATTTTCGGGAAACGCATTTAGAAGTCTTGAAACAGTGTTTTTGTACTATAATTTATGATTTTTATATTTCAAATGAAAAAACACGTGATGAGAGCGTTTAGAAATTCGAATTTATTTCTACCGTTGAAAAATTTTGAAACTCAAAAAACCGTTAAATTACCAAGCCTTTTTATATGAAAATTTTTTTTGCAACAGACTGATATTTATATTATAATTAATGCTTTTACTGTAATTTTTGTCAAGATACTTTCAAATGCATACGACCGTTACAATATTTGAACTTAAGAAAACCGTTAAATGATAAACAATTTATATAGGAGAATGAAAGATATTAAATTGATAAATATACTATAATTAATGATTTTTTTGTATATATTTTTTTGGCGGGAAGCTTTCAAAAACTTACTGACCGTTAGATAATTTGAATCTCAAATAATCGTTAAATGATAAACTTTTTGTACGGAAATTCATTGGAACAAATTATTTAATTATGGGCAATTCTCCAGATGAGTTGAGTTTTTGAAAAAAGAGCTTTTATAATCCAAAGTCATTTACTGTTTACTTTCAATTTTTTTTTTTTGTAAATATCTTGTCAATTTCTTTGTTTTGATTGCTTAAAGCAACTTTAAACTGTTAATTACGATTGATTCTTACTGAATCAACAATAATTCAACCATGAAGTGTTAAATTAAGACTAAAATTTGATTTTTATGAAATATTTGCTTCGCATTTTTTTCATGGATTTGCAAAATAAAAGCTTAATTTTTTTACTGTCAGCAAAAAAATCCACCAAAGAATCAAAAATTCTCTTTAAATAGTAATAATTGGAGTGGGATATGATTATGGTTAGATAGATTAGCTCAAAAACTACATTTCTGCATAATCATAATAAAAAATGAGTGTTTACTTTTCTTCAATTTTCGATTCTCCGGATGATTATTCCATTTTTTGCTGACAGTAATTTGCAAAAAAAATTGAAAAAACTTAATTATTGGCTACTTTCAAAGACTTAAATAGATAAAATATAATAGTTTTTGCCATTTTACATCGATTTAAATGTTAAAGTTATGCTTGGTAATGGAAAATTTCCGAGAAAATTTGATTCTCCGGATGATTTTTTGAAAAACTTATCTGGAGAATTGCCCTTATACTATACCCTGTTTTTACGTTATAAGCCACTACCATTTACTAAGCCAGTGGCTTATTAAAAGATTTTGACCCTTTAAACTTTTATGTCTCCTTTAATAAGCCACTACCCTTTAATAAGCCAGTGGCTTAATAACGGATGACTGTAATACACAATAAACAAATAAAAAAATTTCTGATTCAATCATTCAAAAATGTCTCAAAAGAAACGAAAGACATATTCAGTTAGTTTTAAGCTATCAGCAGTTGAATTTGCAGAAACGAACTCAAATATAAAGGCTGCAGAACACTTTGAAGTCAACATTAGTCAAATTCTTCGCTGGAAATCGACAAAAGATTCAATGCTATTGGTTCAGAACAAGAACAAAAAATGTGTTTTCAAATTTAGACCTGCCAAATGGCCAGCATTAGAAGCACACTTGAAGTCGTGGCTAGTGGAAAAACGAAAGGAAGGCCATTGTGTATCAGCTAGAGCAATATTGAGAGAGGCACGCTTACATGCGCTAAGAATGGAAATCCCTGATTTTAAGGGTTCAGCTAGCTGGATTTGTCGATTCATGAAGCGCAACAAGTTAACGAAACGTGCAGTTACTTCAGTCGGCCAACATTTACCTGATGACTGGGAGAATAAAATGTCAGACTTCATTGAATATGTCAATAACCATAAGGATGGTTACGATTTGGATCACATAGCTAACATGGATGAAGTTCCCGTTTGTTTTGATTTACCATCAAAGTTCACAATTGATCAAATAGGATCATCAGATATCCGCGTCACTACAACAGGAGCTGAAAAAGCTCGTTTTACAGTCGTTCTTTGTGTTACAGCAAGCTGCAAGAAACTTCCAGCATATGTAATTTTCAAGCGCAAAACGTTACCAAAAGGCAAATTTCCACAAAATATTATTGTATCAGCAAATGAAACTAGCTCAATGACAGCAGCAGAAACGGTTTTATGGCAGAACAAAGTATGGATAAAACGACCCAACTCATTATTTGATCGCCGCTCGTTATTAATGCTTGATTCCGCACCTGGTCACAAAACAGCTGAAGTTAAGGCCAAATTTCGTGAAAATGGAACTACTCTAGCTATGATTCCAGGTGGTTTGACAAAAAAACTGCAAGTACTTGACATAAGTGTTAACAAGTCATTCAAAAGTAGACTACGCAACAAATGGGAACAATGGATGATTAATGGCTTTAAAGAATATACGAAATCAGGTCGTATTAAGCGTGCATCGTATGAAGAAATTTGTAAGTGGATTTCCCAATCATGGGAAGAAGTTCCTGATTCTGCCATAAAAAATGGATTTGTTAAAACTACAATTAATTTTTATTGCAATGAAAATAATGTCATAGAAAATGAAGAGGACTGGGAAGTTGAATATTTGCTCGACGATGAAGATGATATCCAAGAAAAATTAATGGATATTTTTTTGGACGAGGAAAATTTTGGAAGTGATTTAGAAGAAGATTATGAATAAATAAATTCCCTTTAACAAGCCACTACTCGTTATTAAGCCACTACTCGTTATTAAGCCTTTTTTTGAAAATCTTTATACTTTTTTTCTCGAATAAGCCACTGGCTTATAACGTAAAAACAGGGTAATGTTTTCGTAGTGCAACATTACCTCAATAATTTCAAATTTTTTCTAGCCGTTGTAAAATTTGAATTACAAAAAATCGTTAAATGATAAACCCTCGCTGTATGGAAATTCATTGCTACAAATTATTAATTAAACTATAGTTATAGTTTTTGAAGTGCAACTTTTCGCGGGAAATTTAAATTATTTTTTGACCCTTGAATAACAAAGCCTTTCTATATAAGCATTCATTGTAATTATTTGCTAATTGCACTGAAATTAATGATCTTCTAATCTTCTAATGATCTGTAAATGAACGCAAATTAAATAGATAATCAAATACTGATCGCTAACACAAAAATGCGCTTAAGTCCCTCGATAAATAACACGAGGACTTCTGTAATTTTTTCTCTTTAAGTATAAAAGTCTCTTAGTTTCATAGCTTTTGCTACGATTAATAAAGGATTTTGACAGTTTCCATTTATTGACAAATCCACAATTAAAGGGTACTGAAAAATTTTGAACTTTGTTTTTGCTTTAACTATTCACAAAATAAGCATAGGTACAACTTAAATAATTCTTTACTCCTTAATATATTTTTCTTTACCTACCTAATTATAATAAGACATAATTCATGCAAAAGAGGAATTGCACGGATTAATTTTTTCAAAAATTTCGTCTTTGAACCGATTTTTCTCAAAAGTCAACTTTCTAGACGCTTCAATGGCTATCAATACTTATGTTAATCAACGAAATACAAACGCTCATTTTTCATTCATATCATATCATAGCATAAAATTTTATTCACACTTTAATACACTTTCTACTTCCATATAGGTTTCATTGGCTTGATACTTTTTTTGCTTCATTATGTCTTAGATGAACCCTGGAGATAAAAAAGCTAGATATATATCTATCTACACATATTCTCATTCATTCTTTTCTTGTTCCCGCTTCGCCGCATTTTTTTATTGCTTGAGGAAGGGATGAAAAATAAATGTTGATAGAGAATATGGAAATCGTTTTGATATATCAAATAGCTCATGAATACAAATTTTTATATTATTACAAATAAACGGTCGAATTCATGATAGAAGAAGTTTAGACTTTTTAGATCTCGAATTTGTTATTACTGGTTATTACTCGAGTAATAATTATTGAGATTTTTCCATAGTTTTACATTTAAATTTAATAAGTTGTATGCACAAATTCAAAAATAGATTCTTTCTATAGACTCTTATATAATAATGCGCTTTGAATTTTGACAGCTTTTTTGTTTTTTCACAATTCAAAGGATTGAGAATTTATTCAATTCTAATTTCAAAAATGAGTTTAAATTTTCTCATCGTTAACTTTTTTTCATCGACCACTTATAAAAAGGGATTTTTTTATTGTTAAATAATCATAAAAGAAAGCTCTTTATACCTTCGACCTTTAACAATTTAAAAACAAAATTTTCTAAAATCTCTTCGACTTTGTTGTTAAAGAAGGAAATGAAATTTGCTTAAAATTATTACATACTTGCGTTATATATATTTGACAATTTATTCAGGATGAGATGAGATTATTGTGACAATTTTAAATTCACTGTCCTAGAAAATAATATAGATTTGAAATATATGCTGCATTTGGATGTAAATTTTATATTTCAACAACAGATTTTAGTCAGTCATATTTCGCATTTTCCTTGTTTTTATTATTTAAAAAAAAATAACATTTTGTGATTTATTGTGTTTGTGGTGTTCCACTTAAAAAGGATTTTGAAAAATTCATTCGTCTACGTGGTAATTGTGTACGGCTGACATTGAATTTTGGTTTCTTGACAAAGGAGTTTTGCTTTGAACTACCATATGATGTGCAAGGATGTTGTAATTGATTTAACATATCATGAAAATTTCTAACGGCTCGATATGTTCCTTCATAAGTTTTTGAAAGAGGTGTAACCAAACTAGTTTGAGTATTTTTAAACTTTTCATCAAATTTTTCGCTTTCTATCTTGTGTGCTGGAGTTGAATTTGCCCTTGGTGATCCAACTTTATTAAATCCAACAGTTTCAGAAATGTTACCCACATTTAGCATCATCCAATCATGAAAAGTTTGATTCACAGTTCGAATCATTCTAAGGTGTTCATAAATATCAGGAAATTCTTGGTCTTTGTAATCTTCAATTATCTGCCGAATCTCAACAATTATTTTACTAAATTCTAATTTTAAAGCAAATGCTTCATATTGACATTTATTTCTTAAACGAAATTTACTGTTTATAAAGCTTTTCATCTTCTGTTCTCTAAAATAATATAAAATTTTAACATTTTTGAAAAATTTCAAAATCACCAATTTTATGAATGCCTACATGTCACCAAAGTCAACGGAATTTTCATACACGTGAGTAGACATCTTTTAGTTTCAAGTACAGTTAATTTTGAAAGATATTTTAAGTTAAACTCTAAAACTCTTAATAGTTTTTGAGAATGACGTTGATTACTATGACTTTTTTTTATGATGAAACTAGTTACATTTTAATAATTAATAGCCTGTTTTTTCATTATAAGCTACTAGCTAACAAGCAATTACAGTGTAATAACATGTCTTTGCAAGTGAAATGAAATCAAATATAAAGCATTTCTTTAATTAAATTGAAAAAATTAAAAATGTCATACAAGTTTAATTTTTTTACTAAGTTACTAGCTTTTAACGAATAAACAGGGTTTGTGTTTTTTTAACTTTCCTCACAGTTAAAATTGCTTCTTCATCACAAATTCATTCTAAATCTAAATACAATTTGAAATAATGCAGTAAAAGAAATGAGACAGTAATAAATGACAACATGGCCTATAAACAGAAGAATCATTAATTATAGTATAAATACACTGTTTTAAGACTTTTAACTGTTCGATCGGACAATAAACAATAGTAACGGAGCTAATAAAACAAACCTGAGCTCTCTACGATGTCTTGTTAAAAAGTTTTTCTTCAGACGAACGAACGAACAAAGTGCATTATTAAGCTCCCTTTTTGTATACAAGTATACAAAAATGCGCTAAAAACGGCATTAGTAATTTTTCCCGCGCTATTTTGAATCAACTTACTGTCCAAATGGAATTTATTCAGTGGCAATTTGAAAAAGCCTTTAATTCCTTGTGTTTACATTTTCGCCATATAAAAAATTTTAAATTTTAAATATGTTTCGCATGAATTTACCAAACCAATCTGCTGAAGAGCAGCGCAAAGAAGTTAGACGTCAAGTTCGTAACAATGTATTCAGCTTTATTGGTCTAGTCGCTTTGATTCGCACTGGTAAGATTTTTTTTCCCTTTAAATGCATAAATTATAATAAGGTTTTTATGCCATTTTAAAAAGTTTAAATACATTTAAAATGGCTTTTCCTTATGATAGATAAATAAAATAATAATAATAATAATAATAATTAATTTCAAATCATGCGATTCTTAATTTTTAATCTAGCACCAATTGTCTTGGATGTGATGAGTGATTCATTATGAGAATGGCCTAATCTATGGGAGGATTTATTCAACATATAGCATATAGAAAAATAAATAAATAAATTTCTATCAAATAAAAATTTCATTCAGTAAGATGAAAAAAATATACTTTTAAGAGCAATAAATGATTAAGCTAACATTCTTTGATCACTGTTCTGCGCCATGTAGCTTTTGGAGCTCCAGGTCGTCTTTTCCCTTGCAGATTCCAACCAGTGTTGCAAATGTAGATGTCTACACTTGATGAAGAATGTAGATTCTTCAATAGTTTTTGTCTAGCTAAGAAACTTTCTTCATAAAGATCGATTCTACATGAAGATAGAAAATCTAATCTACACAAAGATTATTTGTACATACCCGAGCGGCACAATTGACGATGTCGATCAAATGATCGTCATATGAGAGTCTTCGTCATGACGATGATGATTGTACGATGATTTTTTTTTCTAAAATATTATGACAATCATATGACGATCAAATGAAAGTCATGAATGACGATAACTTTTGATTTTCTGCCAATTTCGATTGTATGTTTTGCTTAAATTTTTTTCTTTGGACTGTTTTTGCACTGTAAAAACTGATAATTATTTTCTGAATGATATTTCGAAGATTGAACAAAATTTTTTGTTGAATTATTTTTTTGAGATTTTGTAAATGAGCTTTCATTCAATGTATGCTCACTGATTTCTAACGAATTTTGAATGCAAAAATAGATATGCTTATCATCAAAATGATCTTCAAAATGATTGTAAAATTTGACATAAAATTATCAATGGTAAAAGTTACCATTTTTTTGGGTGAAAATTTTGTTTTCTTCATTTGTGTTCGAGAAGTTGAAGTGATAAGAAGGAAAATTATTTCAATCCGTTGTAAAATGTTTTAAGAATAATCAAAGTGTGTGATAATGATATTTTAGAAATGGTAAGTTTTAGAAGCAATTGCTGCAAATTAATTTATTAAATGAATTAATTTCATCCATTTTCTTAGGTTCCTTAAAACTTACGTGTGGAACTTACAGCTCAGCGGCAGATGCTTCAACAGCCGTCAAAATTTATTTTCATCGACGTAGAGAAAATCAAGCTAAGTTATTACAGTTGACTAATCAAAACCGATTTAACGATGAGGAAAATCAAGAAAATGATTAAAAAAAATCAAGAATATCCAGAAAATAATCAATAATCAATATTCTAATATATTATGACTCATATCATTTCGTATGTTAAATGTTATGGCTTATGTTTATAGTTTAAAATAAATATTATATAGTTTTATTCTACACAAATTAACAAGTTTTTCGTAAAATTTTAAAAAAATTATTTCAGTCAAAATTCAGCATATATACCGATATTCAGTATATATATATCACGGTTTATGCTCGTCGTCTCGCTATAGTAATTTTGTCATTTGATCGTCATATGACCATCAATTGACGTTTTCATTTGATCGTCGAGTGACGAATTTTTCGTCAAATGACCATCATATGGGGTCATAAATCGAATCGAGACGATGTCATGATGACATCTTATCATCATATTACGATCATATGATCGTAATTCATGACGTCTTTATGACGATGACGGCTGTCATATGACAATCATATGACCGTCATATGACGCTTGTGTGCCGCTCGGGTAATGGAACATTCTACCTTTAATTCTTTCAATAGATATCAGTTAAGCATAGAGAAAGATGGATAATTGTTTTTAGTAGAAGAAAAACTTTTAAATTTATGGACATATAGTCAATAAGTCAACGACCGTTCATCACTTACATTTATAATGAAAAAATTCCAGAGCATTCAATATCTCCTAATTCTCTATGATAACGATTATGGGAGAAAATGAAAAATTCCACTGTCAATATTTTGCAAAAGATAGCTGGCACAATAATAAAAAATATTTATAAACAAATTTCCTTTCATTGTCTTTCGTCTATGTTCTCTAGAGTTATACATATCTAAATTCTTTTTAAAATCACTATAAAATACTTGAAATATATTTTTTACATCAAAAGTTCTTTAATTCAAAAAAAATATCTTTTTAAACCTTCTGAACCCAACAATAAAAATTCAAAGATTCCAGGTTCATTCCAGATATAAAATTTGCATAAAACGTCTCTATTCACAACCTGAAATTGAAGAAGAAAAAAATTTGACATAAAGTATTTAATATGCATAGAACCCTTAAGATCTTTCATGAAGACAAAAAAAACTTACAATAGAGAACTATCAAAATAGGATAAGGTTATGATTTTTGTATAAATTTAAAAAAAATTCTTGATGTTCAAATCATATTCGGAACCAAAACTCAGATCCATTAGAAATTCAGTCATGTCTGGAGCAGTTAAAGAAAACCAAAAAGAAATAAGAAACCAAAATCATCAGCTGGAAAAATGGACCTTGAGAAGACTCTAAATGCAATGAGACATGACTTGGCGTCTATAAATAATCGTCTCGAAAGCCTACCGAATCTAGAGAACAAAATAGACTCAATATCTGCCGAAATAGCAGTTTACAAGAAAGAAGTTAATGACATTAAGGCACAAATGAAAATTCTGGATACAAAGCAAAGTGATTGGTCTAATATTACTAAGAATAATCAAGCAGAAATCAACATGGCCAAACAAAACAAATTAGATGAGCAAGTCATGATAATAGACGTTCCTATTCATATCACCAATGAAAACTTTATCGCAAACATTAATGACTGGTCCAAGAACTTACTTGAAAGTCTTGGATACAGAAAGCTGACACTGATAAAGAATAAAGCCGATGGGAAACGTAAAGCATCCAATACCGCATTTTTACATTTTTGGAGCTTTAAAGACAAGTTCAGATTTATGGAATTCATAAAAAAACACCAAAAGCAAGATGACAAGTACGTCCCAATAACATGCGAGCAAGTATTTAAATTAGCTGAAGATGATATCAGTAAAGCTTCAGTCTTGCATTTCCAAACACCAATGACCAAAATCAATCAAGGAATTTTTAAGGAAGCTAGGACATATAAGAAGAATAAGAAAATTGAGAGCTGCTGGATGATGAACGGAAGCATTTACATAAAGGCAAATGGGAACAATAAGAAAGGCATACGAATCGATTCTATTGAACAGCTGAATTTAACGATGGCAGGCATTAGAGCTGAGATTAGTCATAAATCACCAACTGCAATCATGGACATTACAGATTCGTAAGTTCCTCGCTCAATTGATAAAATAAATCCGAAACTATAATCCGATGCACTAAATAATACCCAAGGAAAGCTACAAAAAAAAAAAAAAAAAAAAAAATCTTTTAATTAATTTCTTAACTTGATATTTTATTGAATTATGCGCTTACCAATGATTTCCTTAAGCTTCCAGTTATACTTGCTAGTTAATAGTCCAATTTAAATCATATTTGTCAGCTTAAATGACTGCTTTCTAGCGGAAAATTTGTGTAAATGTAAACAAATTATTAAATTGAAACTCGTATAATTTTTTTTTAGACGGTGAAACACTTTCAAAATTCAAATTTGAGAAATCCGTTGAAATAATTTTTTTTGAAATTCATCACATCAAAATCGTTTAATTTGACCTGTTAAATTGTCAAACATTAAGCAAAATCCAGCATAATTAAGTCGTGAAACCATTATGATCGCATAAGACCTTCAGGTGAACCGCATGCATTATAATGGACGCATGCATACAGAATTTGTGTTCTAATTGAATCCACACGCACGCGCTATGAAAGTGAGTTGTTTCTTATCAAACAAAAGTCTTAAATAAATATCACTTCCACCTGGCTCGAAGGTGCTCACTTTTCAAATGCGCCAATACGAAAGCGCTGTATGCATGTCAGTCGTTTAATAATATTCACATCACTATAGATTCTGTACTGGTTTTTGCATATTTAAATATTTTGGTAATGAAGCGACGCTTTATACCTTTTAAAATTTTGAAATAACGTATTCTGTTTGGCGGTTAATAACTAGAAAGCGGTTATAGTCAGCTGATAAATGGAAATAAATGTTTAATTAAAATGGAATTAACAAAATTATTCAAAATCATATGCAATATTCTCGATTCGATAACAGAATTTTATTATTATTACACTTATGGCTCAGCTAGAGCAAAATTATCAGTAAATGGATCCAATATCCAATTTTAACTTTAATTTAAATGTTAAGCATCAAAATACATTGCCAAATAGTGTGCACAGACTATCTTATATTAACTTTCTCTATATTAACGCTCAGTCACTTCGTAATTCACTAACAGATTTACAAGACTTTATAGACAGTTTAAATTACTCGATTCATGTAGTTCTTGTAACTGAAACATGGATAAAAGAAATTGATAAAAAATATTATAACTTAATCAATTTTACCGCTTTTCACTCTACTCGACCTAATGGAAACGGTGGTGGAGTCTCTGTTTTTATTAATGAAAATTTTGACACAGGAAACGTTATTTATGAAGAATCAATTAATAATAATAACATTTTATTAGTTTCTTTAATCAAACATCAACTAAATGTTGCGGTCTGCTATCGTCAACCGAATAATTCACTAGACATGAACTGCTCTATCTTTTTGAATAAATTGGATATACTGTTAAATGCTCATAAGAAAATATTTTTTTTCGGAGATTACAATATAAATATTTTTAATAAATCTACTACTATAAACGATTATATGAACGTAATTCAGTCTAATGGACACATTTTCTTAAATAATCAATCGAATGAATATCCGACAAGAGTAAGCGATAGATTTAATTCAAACACGTGTATCGATCATATTTTTACAGACTATCATTATCATAAAAATGATCTTTCATATAATATGTTTTATTTTGACAACATTGGTGATCATAGAAATATTATATTGAATATAGTCAAAGAGCAACAAGTAGCTGATGACAAAAAGAATAAATCGTATAAGATAATTAATAATAGTCATATTTATAATACAAAATCACTTGAAAAGATTGATGCCGATAGTTTCGATACGTATGTACAACAAATACAACAAATAATTAAAACGAATACTATAGAAATTGAAATCAAGAGTACTGGTAAAAAGCCATTTATTAATCAGCGTATTTTGAATATTATTACCATACGAAATAAATTCTTACGGCTAAAATTAAAATTTCCAAACAATACTTACTTAAAAGAGAAATTTAATTATTATAGAGCCTTAAGCAAAAAAGAAATACGCACGGCAAAAAAAGCTTATTTTGAAGAGCAATTCGCAAAACATTATTTAGATCCGAGAAAAACGTGGCAAAATTTAAATAGACTTCTTTACAATAAGTCTGCAAACTCTACACAAACATGCTCACTACTAGTTGATAACGGTATCTCAATAAATCAAAGCAATCAATTGCTGATCATTTCAATAGATTTTTCGTTAACGTATCGCAGGAAATTACTAGTAAAATTAATATTAATAAATCGGAATATGATGATTTAATGAGAAGCGAGGTCTATCAAATAAATAGCAATTTTACATGTCCTTCCGTAACAGAAGATGAAGTTAAATTAGTAATCGAAAATTTGAAATCATCGAATGCTCTTGATGTATATGGGATGTCAAATTCATTTGTAAAATTTCACAAGAATGCGCTGTTAAAAAATCTAGCAAAATTATTAAACAAGTACATGTTTCAGGGTGTATTCCCAGAAGTACTAAAGTTAGGAATTGTAACGCCAATTTTCAAAAATGGTAGTAAAACCACTTGCAATAATTATAGACCAATAACCATAAATCCTATCTTTGGCAAAATATTTGAGTATGTGATTTATAGACGATTTCAAACTCATTTAGATAATAATAGCATAATACATAAAAACCAGTTTGGTTACGTAAGAAAATCAAACTGCGAAATTGCGGTAACACATGTTCTCAATGATATTTATGGATTCGTTGATGAAAGAAAGACAGTTTCTCTTACATGCATCGATTTAAGTAAAGCATTTGATTGCATTCAATTTAACATTTTAATTCAAAAATTGCGTAAATTAGCTCTTGATCCCTTCTTTCTAAATTTGCTGATCTCATACATTTATGGGAGAAAGCAGGCAGTCAGTATTGATGGAAATTTAAGTGAATTTCTAATAATTAATGTAGGATCGCCTCAGGGCGGTGTACTATCAGGACCT